TTTAAACTATTCTTGATCTCCTATTCATTTGATGTATTCATTGAAGTGATCAAATGATGTTTCTATTTTTTATAAAATACGGGAAATATAAGTTTTATATGGGAAGTGGAAGCCTTTTTCATTTTTAAACGGACCGACATTATTTTTCGTTTTAAACGCGTTTTTTTGTTAAAAAAAATGGTACATTTTTAAAACGTGTTTTAAACACAAAAAAGCTAACTAGGGCGGTACCATTCAATTTTCCGGCAAAAAGATGCCACTTGTCCGCCTGAAATCCACGTGTATATCCTAGTCATCATTTTATCCACATCATTTGTGATTACTAAGCTATCAAGAAACCATGCCTGGGAATTGAACCCATATCAATCACACATGCTATAGCTCTACGCCTATACCAACCCCATCCAGCCAGAGACGGATCCAGGATTTGGAGTCAAGAGGGACGAATTTTTTTTCGTTAGTGTATTCATAGATCAGGAGGAGTTTTCTTAATATTACAATAGTATGTGTATGTATGAGATTATTACTTTTAGAATAATATGATACATAGTATTGTTAATTCACATATACATGGTGTATATTATATCTGTATTAATGCTAAAATAAGTTGAAGTTTATTATCTATGCAACAAATTGTTTTTACAAAGTAAGAAGTAAATTGATTGTGTAATTTAGTGTCAACAACCATTTATATTTTGGATTCACTTTTTATAATCTAAAAACTGCTTAACAAATGTGTCTGATATTTAATATCATTGATATTTTACAAAATCTAGTACTGATTATCTAATAAAGATAATTAAACATTACAAATCTAAGAATTTTGATATAATATAGGTGTATCCCTAGTCTTAAACAATGAGTTATTATATTTGTTTCTTTTAGATTTTACTTCTTTTAAATCTCCAATTACGAATTACGTTATGTGAGCTTATATATTAATTTTGAAAATTAAAAGATAATGGGGGAAAAATATATATATCTAACTAAAGTCTAAAAATATTACATATATACTAGAAAAATTTGAAAGTTCAAGGGGGGAGGTCGCCCCCCGCGCCCCCTTAAATCCATCCCTGCATCCAGCCACGATGCTTTTTGTTTATCCATAGACGGAAAGGGAACAAGTATCATTGCTCTTCCGTTTTGACTAATTAACTCTATTTTTTTGCGGCAAATCTCTAAATATGTTGTTATACGGAGTATACCAAAGTATTCAGAAATCCATAATATATTATATATTTTTCACACCATCTTATATATGATTAATTTAAATATGTTTGTTAAAATTATATTTCACGTTTTTTGTCTAAAACTCCAACAATTGATATTTCAGACATTTTTTACTTTATATATGTAATATTTGTGTTACATGAAAGATTATCAAGAATTACTACCTTCGTCCCCTTTTTATTTAGTCATTTTCACTTTTCAGTCAAATATGATAAACTTTGATCTATTATTTTAAATAATACTCCCTCCGTCCCAGGGAGAAGTTCTCGAGTTGACTTTCACACATATTAAGAAAATAAAGTTACTGAGGGGCGAATTTTACTGTTTGGCACTGTTTTGCACTGTTTGGCACTGTTTTTATGTAGAATAACTTATTTCCATTTAGGGAAATGACTTTTTGTTGGGACTGCCAAAAAAGGAAAGTGAGAACTTGTCCCTGGGACGGAGGTAGTATATTTATGTGAAACTATAAAAAATTATATTTTTATGATAGATTGGTTAACAAAGAACATTATCATATAATTTTTATTTTATCAATACTACCATATATAAATATATAATCGGTCAAAGTGTAAGATCATTGACTTGAAAGTTAAATATGACTAAATAAAAAGGGACGGAGGGAGTATAATATTGCATCATATATTGACATATTGCATAATTTTTTTAAAAATGTTGTAAGAGTATCATGTGAAAAATAGGCATTCTCAGGTAACGAGCAAGCAGATGAAAGACTAAATGAACTTAGTTCATCTTAGGTTTAGATAGATCATATACAACAAAAAGAGTCTTAATATCTCAGGTAACAAATAAAACTTTTCAAGGTATATCATTTCTTTAGAATAGATAAAACTCGGGATAAGGGTCAGTTTGGTCCTCGAAGTTGCAAAAAAGGGGGTCAAATAAGTCCTTATATAGAAGATTCTGTCCGGACGTGTCATTTGAGGTGGCTCCCGGTGGAATTTTTTGATGAAATGTTTTGAGCATCTTATTCATTAAGTCTAGTTTACTCATACCAAATTTCAGATAAAAATTCAATGGGGAAGACATTCAAATTAATTCTTGAAGATAACCGTGCTGTTAAAAGCGCTATTATCTTCAAGAATTCAATAATATAGGTCTGGGCTCTTGATACCATATGAAATAATGGGAAGTGTGATTCCAATAGGAGCCTTGGCAGGTATATTTATAATAAACAAGAGTTTCCAAAATACACAAGATTCCTAATTTATATTAGCTATTAAATACCTCCCTTTCGGAAAAACACTTCACCTAAAATAGTAACTAAAAGCTTCATAAAACCTTAAATGAATCATACTTGGTAAAAATTTCAATATTTTATAATTTATATATAAAGAAGTATTACGTGCTTCCTCACATCTGAATTTTAAAGGAAGTTTTTGAACTGGATCTAGTTGAGCTTGTATTGTCATTCGCTTTGGAGTTTTCTTGTCCTTTTCCTCTCAAGCTTGAGTTATAGTTTATTTTCCAAAATTACATAGAGGATGAAACTAAAAGGGCTAGGGGTCAATGAAACTCACCTCTCTCCATTAAAATATGTTCAGCGATTGAGTAAACCATAGTGTGGTTTCCTATCTCTTTGATTATACCTTAAAACGTTTCTAAAAGACCAAACATCATAGTTAAATAGACATGTAGGCTGTAGCCATCTAAAAAATACTGATATTTAGACTTAAAACATGTTGCGACACAGCTTCAAGCATAACAAAGTTAGAATTCAGAATACCTTTAAACTAAACCCTAACTCATCAAAATGACAAATGCCTACAGCCTATATAGAGAGAGTAACTCACAACTCGGAAAAACCACACATAATGTTTCATAAAAATTTACATGCACATAATCAAGCAGAAGGTTGTGTTGGCTATTAAATTACTAACATGAAGCAGAAACAAAAGCAGAAACAAAAGCAGAAAACAAAACACAGGGAAAAAATGTTTATTAGAAATGAGTTAGCTTTAAACATTTTGATTCAAGTCATTTTGGGATGTCGGGCTTCAAAGTTGGGACACCCAAGCAGCCCCCCTAAAAACATTGAACATTTTTTGCGTAAGGTTTCTTTACGCCTTTTACTCAAGTTTGATAAGATTTTCTAATTCACCCTAAATAAAGCTATTATTCTGGATAAATAAATCCATAGGACTTGAGAGAAGCAACTCTCTATAATGGCTAAAAGGCTTACTAATTACGAGAAGAAGACTTGTGAACACTTGAGCAGTGGGAGAGAGCATTTGTATGTGAAGCAACAAAAACATATTTTTGAGGGAATAAGGGGAGTGATTGAAGTGAGAGGGCCTCTTCCATTTCATAACTTGTGATGGACAGGAGAACATATTGATCAAGGCAGACCCGAAGTGTCGTACAACAACCAAGGACTTTTGATTCGACATATTAAAATGATCAAATATTAATACTTTTATGTAGTGTTTAACATGTTTATTCCACACAAGTTTTTTGAAAATCTAAATCAAACGGATAACGTTATTAGTAAATAATCAACGGTCATTGAGGAGCATGGTTTGAAATAGCGGCCCGCTACCGCTATAGCGGCCGCTATATAGCGGTCGCGGTAGGGGCCGCTACCGCTACAGCCCGCTATTCGTGTGTGATTTTCAAATCACGGGAAAAATCCGCTACGCCGCCCGCTACAACCCGCTATTGACATTTCCGGCAGTACATCACGAATTATTTGATGTGTAAATGTGTAAATGTTGTGTGAATGATGTGAAAAAATACATAATGGTGATGCATGGAGTGAAACTCAAAATGTTGTGTGAATGATGTGAAAAAAGTACATTTATGTTTTGCGCAATTGAAAATATTTTACGCCGCTGCAACCGCTGCAGTCGGCTACATGCCGCTATAGGCCGCTACCGCGATGACCACTACTGCTACCGCTGCTGCTACAGCTATTTAAAACCTTGTTGAGGAGTACTTGGAGTAGCGTCGTTAACATGATTGAGCATCATATTTGGCTTCTAGACATACTTGGGTAGGGGGTTAGGTGGTAAGGGCCTAGGGGTAGGGTGGGGGTGGTAAAGGGGGCCCGGGGGTAGGGGTGGGTCAGGGTAAGGTAGGGCAAGAGTATGGTAGGTAGGGTGGGGTCGGGGTGGGACCGATGTGTTAGGGGGTCGGGGCCTAGGTATGCCGGGTGGGTGGGGTCGGGGTAAGGTAGGGTGGGAGTAAGGGGTAAGGGGGTATGAGTGCACATGTTATATTATATTAATTATATATATGTGTGTGTTTAAACGGTGTTTTAAACCTTTTGAAGTAAACACGATTTTACAACATTGCTTAATTTATGTGATACTTATTAACGCGAGTCTTAATAAGCACCGTTTAGTAACTATTGAAGTAAACAAGTCCTAAGTTTCTTCCGCCGCGCCGCAGAAATAGACTAGCCCATCAACTTCCCAAAGTCTATATACGATAGTATATGCTAGTGTGTAGACGTTAATGCAATAATGAACTTCTATCGTATCAGTTAATCTATGCATTGACCAGTATCTTAAGAAGCAGTATACATCAAAAGCCTTATTACAACTCAAAAACCTTTAACACTACAGAATAAATACATTCGTACGTGTACCTGATGCATTGGCCTAAATAATACTATCGTACTACGTATATCGATCCAAAAGGTACTGAATTGTATTTTTGTTATTATGTGTTCAGTTGTTGGATCGATGTAGTATGTAAAACCTCAAACTTCAAATGATTTCTCCATTAAAATGACAATGGGAGTTTTATAGAAGAAGCAGTACATGACTCCTTATATAATTATATTGAGAACCAAATCATCATTTACCATTACATGACTCCTTGTAAGAGTTCTCTCTTTTACTACCTGGTCATGTTTTAATTTGACTATAATCTTTTGCCAACATTAAGTAGACCTATTGTAAATAATAGGACAGACGAAAGAAATGTTCAAGAGAAAGCACGAAATGACGGCTAGGAACCTGACGCCTGCAAAGCGGGCAAGTATTAACACCAGATAACTGGTCGGGTTTGTCATCTGAAACACGAAACCAACTGGCGATGCAATTTGCATGGAATATGTGCTGGCATGGCAGCAGCATTGCTGCTGCGTTCTCGGTCTTGTGACTATGCTCCTCCTCGTGGTTGGGGAGAATGTCTTCCAGACATTGGAGGCGAATCACGAGGCACTGCGGCTCGTACTTGCCCAAACAAATTGCACATGTTTCTTCTTCTTCTTCTTCTCCACCGCCAAGTTGGAAGAAACTGTAGCCATTCGGCACCATCCTCGGGAGAGGCATTGGAGATGAGGGATCGTAACCATGCGGCGCACCAGGCGGCAGCTGCTCAAGGCAATCTAGAAACCAGGTCCAGGCCTTGAGTCCCAAAATTATAGAGAGCTTACTACACACAGCCACGCTAATTGAGTACCGCTTTGAGTTAGAGTTGTCATTGGTGAGAGGAATAAGCCGATCACGACATCGCCTTATTAACACACTTGCAAGGTACTCGATGTTTTCTCCTGGGATAATGTTCTGGAAGGGGGAGAGTAGTTTATCCGTCAATAAAGTCACAAGTTCTTCGTCTTCTTCTTCAGATAGTATCTTCTCCAAGTCAATAGTTTCCGCACATTCAGGGCTCACGTCAACGTCCTCCACAATCCTATACAGAAGTTCCTGGTTCCAGCTGCCGCATTCTTTACTATCCAGCCACCATGTTCTAGCAAACGAAGCATTCCCTTGTTCCAGATATATCCTCACCACAGACCTTTGAAGGTCAGGACCATCTTCTGTATCAATGTCCAAGTCCAACCGAAAACTTTCAAACAATTCCGCCATCGCTGCAGCGGGCGAACCAAATCGGAGTAGAGCTATGCGCAAATCAGTTTGAGGGATCGAATTAAAGAAGCGTTGTGGTGCCTATATTTATTGTCGCCGGCCCTGTTTTACCGTAGCACAAATCCTTATTCTCTTAGGATTACCAATTTATGTATTACTCATATTAAAGAATCAGCCGACGCCGTGAGTAATTGAGGAAGTTTCTTATTAGGTTTACGAATTTATGGCATGGAACCCCACATAGGTTGTAGCACGTGGTGAGAATTGCCTAAAACATTAACAAATTTCTGTAAAAAAAACATTAAGAAATGCTAGTAAACATTAGGAAAGTGTAATAATTGATGGTCATGTTTTTGGGAAAATAGAAACTAATAATCCAACCTTTTAGCGATCTTCTTTTAATAGTTTAACCTTTTCGTTATTCATGAATAATCCAATCTTTGCACCTCATCTTCATTCACTGGTCCCTGACCGGTTGATGACATGATATTCCAAGTTATTTTCTTATCTTTGCAAAATATTATCTTTGTGAAAGGTGGAATTTATGGTTTAATAGTTTGCAGAGATAAGAAAATAACTCGGAATAGCAGTTTATCAACCGGTCGGAGACCAATGAATGAAGATGAGGTGCAAAGGTTGGATTATATATTTATGAATAACGAAAAGGTCGGATTATTAAAAGAAGACCGCTAAAAGGTTGGATTATTAGTTTCCATTTTCCCCATGTTTTTTATCTATAAAATTGATTTTTTGGAAATTGTTAGTACAATTTTTTTTGAATATATGTACAAAAAGTATAAACTTTTTAAGTTGTTTGAAAACATTTTTATCTGTGTCAGAACTTTTTAGAATGATTTTTTTCTTGACTGACTTTTTTTTTTCTGTGGCCCCCTTTTGTGTAAAAAATAACCGGTGGAATTTTTTTGCCAATGTGTACAAAAGTGATACCGTTTTTATTACCCATTGCGAAAACACTCTTTGTCTATGTCGGAAATTTATTGCATAAAAATAGTCATCTTCCATTAATATTTTTTTATCTGTGGTGTAACTAACTCTAGAGATAAAAATTATCGGTATGAAGAGTTTTTGAAACATCATAACTTTTTTATTGTGTCTGAGGTTGTAACTCTAACCATGTCAAAAGTAAAAAAGTTGACGATGTTATTTCAGATTTAAAGGGAGGATTTCATTTACAATAATTTGGATGCTTGAGGGATGATATTTACAAACTCTACAATAGGGAGACTACATTTGAATGTGAGCACTATTTGAGGGATTAAAAGCACAATTTCCTTTTTAAAGTCTTTTACTCGTTTTGTAATTCAAAGCGTACCGAGAATGTTTTTGATGAGACTCAGCTTATCATTAAGTTGATCTCGACATTCAGTCCACCCCAGCAAAACGCCGGCTCCAACGGGAGAGAACTTTTTCTGTAATCAAAGTGATGAATTTTTCTTCTTCTTTTTCATTTAAGTCAATAATCTCGACACATTTATCGCAAACGTCAATATAGTCTTCCATCTTATACAAAAGCTTCTTGTTGCCGCGGCCGCTCTCTGCCACAATCCGCCATGTTTTAGCATATGAAGCATTCCGGTCCAGATATATACTAACTAGAGACCTTTCAAGATCGGGATCTCTTCTGTATCTATGTCCAGATCCCACCGCCACTCCAATGTGCTACGTCCCTCCATGGTTGATCGCTTGCTAGCTATTGATTGAACTAGAACAGATCAAGAATGGAGGATGATTGATATTACTAGAACAGATTAAGAATGAATTAATTATTTCATTACATAACAAGCGGTATACTAGTATGTATTAATTTATAGTAGAAGAAAAGATACATTCCTACTGCTCTTATGAGACTTGAAACCTTTTTGGCTTCTCAATTAAGTGAATGTGTCTCTGTTTGTTAAGTTTATTAAGGAGAACTTGTCATCAAAATTTAAGAACTTGGTAAAAGCTACCAAACAGGGTCTTAGTCTCTGGGAATTAAACGTGGTTTAATACGTACGTGTTTTATTCGGTGACTTGAAAAAAAATACGGTAAAAAATTCTGCAAAAATTACGTTGACTTTTAAAAAACGTGTAAATACGTATATGTGTATAATACGGCTTCTCTTAGAAAAATTCGGGTTAAAAATACGGGTTTTATTTTGAATGATTAAATTATTGTACTAGTTTTTAAAGCATAAAAAACATATAGTACATAAAGGATAATCAAAATACACACACGTTCAAAGATAATATCTCATTACCCCATCAAAAAATGCATACATAATGGCTAATGACAAAAAAGAAATAATAGCTAAGTCCAAAATAAAATTTAAATTATATACTTTTGCAAAGTAATTTTTAAAAATAAGGCATAATAACAATAGAATGATGCCAAGTTAACATCATCATCATCTTTATATGATCATCAAATAACACTCAAGTTAAACTCATCAATTTTTTACCTAGATGACGAATGACATATGAGAAAGTTGTGCGACTACTACACTTATTATTGTTTATGTGTAAAAGTTTGTACTAAAAAATGTCAGGTTTAGAAAAACTTTAATTTTGCTATGCTTGTTGGGAATAGAACATTAAAAATCTAATACGAAGTAGTATTTTAGGTTTTAGTCTTTTAGAATGCTAGCTTTAGTCATCATGCAATTAATTTTAATGTTTAACAATTGTATATTTTGTATTGTAACAATAAAAAACACGGGGTCACGGGGATGAAGTTTTCTTTTTTGCCTTTAAACTATTCTTGATCTCCTATTCATTTGATGTATTCATTGAAGTGATCAAATGATGTTTCTATTTTTTATAAAATACGGGAAATATACGTTTTATATGGGAAGTGGAAGTTTTTTTCATTTTTTAAACATGTTTAAAACGCGTTTTAAACGCAAAAAAGCTAACTAGGGCGGTACCATTCAATTTTCCGGCAAAAAAATGCCACTTGTCCGCCTGAAATCCATGTGTATATCCTAGTCATCATTTTATCCACATCATTTGTGATTACTAATGTAATACCCCAAAACCCGGTCTAGCCGGTAACGTAAATTCGAATAATATTCTTTCTCATTGATTCTAAAATTTGCTAAATTATTATTAAATAAACAATAAATACGAAGTATTAATAATTTAAATGAAGGCAAGATAATTATGATATCTTAAATCCAATGTTATAAAAAAAGGTGTAACCGTGACATGCTAGGAGACTCATGATCAAATTTTGGGATTTAAAGGGCAACATATACGAAACTATTTGTAAGATTTGTTACATAAGCTAGATTATACTTAATATATTAATAATAATAAAAAATCTTAGCTTTTCATGAAAAACCCACTTGGCTGCAAAAGAAAAGCCTGCGCCTGCAATATGTATACAAATAACTCAGCAGCTGGTTGTCCTAACATGCATGGTAAAGTACACTTGGAGGCCGGCCTAAACACTTCTATGACCGATCAAGCATATATTGTTGTGATATGCATGCCAATCTCCACATGGAAGTTTCCTTATACCCCATATATACGTGTTACTAGCATGTGAGAGCGGACAACGTAACACTGATTTGGCTTCACTCCCATGCTTTGATAGTATAAACTTCTACTATTATAGGCGGTGGTCATACATATTACATATAGAACCAAATCAGATATTTTATCACTTACTTTACGAAAGTGGCTTAGCACAAATATACTAAAATAAACATTAAAGAGGAGACCAGTAGCTAACGATATGAAGAATCGGAACTAGCGAGGATAAGGAGAAAGATGGCCGTATAGGAGAAAGATAGCAGTATAGGCCAGAGGTTTCCATACTATTATACTACCAAAATCTTCAGAAGGATTTCTCTACGAGGTCAGTACGTTTCCGTCCCGACCATTTAGATTATTGAATTTATTTCCGTCCCTGTTTCCCGTTGTGTTATGGGGATGATGAATGTTATATAACCTTAGAAATTTTGCATGCTCTATGTGTTCTTAATTTACAAGAATTTTGAGTTTATACACACATCAATCTGTCATAGCTGATAGTAATTACATTCGTTTAAATCAATACGAAGATCAGCTAGAAATAAAGCTTAGCTCCATATTATTAAGAAGTAGAGTCGTTAAAATTAACGCGGTTAGATTAATTATAACGATTCTGTGATATACGAGCATGTAGAATATTTTGCATGAAACCATATATTTTGATTAGGATAGATATGTGCTATTATAATTAACATGCATGCATTAACATATTTATGTATATGCATGTTTGATATGCTTGCATTACTTTTTACCTAAATTTACATGTTAGGAAAACCTAATATTTAGTTATAGATACACGGAGGGAGTAGCATATAATAATAAAAATCAGCATTTAAAATGATGGTAATACTTCGGAAAAACACATGCACCCTCTAGATAAGAGCGGTACGTATAAAGATTATAACTAGGTATAAGTATCATTTCTCATACGTATACTTATAATAATAATACCTTCGGCCTCACCGTACCATTGAAGTAAAATAATACGGAGTAATACTTGACATCCATGCACTAAGTTCATAAATGACTTACGGGGGCATGTAACTGACGTGCACTTTGTCGTGAGGTGCACTCAAAGTAATAATACAATACGACACTAATACGTAGTATAGTGTAGTAAGGTTCGTATCCACAGGGAAAGGAATACTTTTCTTCTTACAGAAATAGATAAGTAACAATAAGGGGGGTTTATATTTGGTTGATGAACTTTAAATTATATTTAAATACGAAGATGAACGAGTTATGTGGTTTAATTAATGAGAAGAAGACTTGGCTTTGCTTTTATCCACTTAATGAAATGTTCGTCGATTCCGGTTATATCTTTAACTATCTTCCTCTCGAATACTCAATCGAGGAGTATATCCAATTCATCGAGGGTAGTTATTAATAACGAGACGCGTTCATTAATAAAACTTACTACCGAGTTAATATAGAACACGCGCCGTATATTCACTCGATAGTAGCAATAAGATCAAGATGAAAACGATTGAGATTGATAACCTCAACACAAGCGGTTTATTGGTTTAATCAATATAATTAATTCCCCTTGGTTT